AGCTCTCTGCAGGGGGCCTGATTACAGAACCCTCTCACTCACGGAACGCGAGTGAGTTATATCCACTAAGCTGCGAGGCAAGGCCTTGCCACACGAATGTGACGAGAGGAAACACCCAGGAAAAGCTGTGGAAGTTCTGGGTGATGACCCAAGGAGGCTAGATTTTAACAGAATTTATTAAAGTCTGAAGTCACAAAATATTTAGAACTGGTCTCCCCGAAGGCTGAGAGTGGAAGAAAAGACTCATGGGGAAAGGTGACTGGTGTAGCAGCTCACAAATTACTGCAGTGTAGGCCATTCAGCCCATCATAGAGAGCCTCTCCCTTTGCAATTGTCGAACAGAAATGAGGTTTTCTTTGTCTATTTGGCTGTGAGCAGGGCGGATGAGCTAACTGCCCAGGGCATTGTTGTACGGGACGCTGTCTGAGTGGCGGGTGGGGACAAATGAGGAGTGGAGTGTTAGTCAGGGACATATCGGGCAGGGGCGGGAACCCTGACCATTGCATTGCCTGCCTGGTGCCAGGTTTTGGGATATCAGCTGAGGCCCGGGGAGGAACTCGCTGTGGGAGGGAGAGTATCCAGTTGCATGGTCCGCAGCAGCAAAAGGACAGAGGAACAGGTTCTGCACATCCTGGCAAGAAACCAGGTGCCGATTAAAAAGCAGAACTTCAAATGTAAAAACTAAAACAGTAATTGCGAGAAAAGCTTCAGCAGGTCTGGCAGCATCTGCGGAGAGAGCTAGCGTTTCACGTTCTGAAGAAGGGTCACTGGACCTGAAATGTTAACTCTGATTTATGTTAACTCACTCACTCACACACACACGCACGCACACAGACACATACACACTCAAACACACACAATCACACAACACTTACACACACACACACTCACTTGCTCACACACACACACACACTTGCTCATACACACATATTCACACTCTCTCTTACACATACACACACACACAGTCACTTGCTCACACACACACACAGACACACACACACTCACTTGCTCACACACACACTCTCTCACACACATACACACAACCTTACCACTACCTCCAATTGCAGCAAGGGGAAACTTATAGTTTTAGCTTTCCGCACTTGCTCAAAGCTGGGTGTGGAAGCTCTTATTCCTCTCTCTGTTATGGCCAAAAGCTGTGATTCTCTTCCTGCTGCTAGAACCGTGTGTGAGAGAATCTGTTTTACTGAATTTGTCTTTGCCAAGGGTGTGTTTATGTATTGGGACAATGGCTATTTAGTAGTTAAATAATCTATTATTCCGTTAAGTTTTTCCAATCGAGTTAAGTTATTCCAATTCTTTCCTTTGCTGTGTGTTAACTATAGTGTATTAATAAAGTGTGTTTTGCTTCAAGGCTGGTAGTTTGGCCAATTGAATTGCGCCCGGGACACAACACTTGCCTTTTAAAAATTTAGGGTCCAGGCTGCGCTATTTTAAGGGGGTTTGGTCTGGTCCATGACACTACAGATCAAGAAAGAAAACAGTACAGAAATCAGAACTGGGAACAGTACAGATTTAATCCCCTCCCAAATTTGGAAGAATGAGAGGGAATCACATTGAAATGTATCGGATTCAGACAGGGTTGGATGAGCTTGATGGCAACAGACTGTTCCCTCGAGCCAGGCTGGAGGGTCTACAACTGGGAGGGGGCAGGACAATTTCAGGGTAAGGGGTTGGGGGGGCGTAGGGATTCAGGGTCAGCCATTTCAGACCAAAGTGATGAGAAGTTTCTTTGCATGGAGGGGCTGGGCGTTTTCAGAATT